TAAATTTCAGGGGATTTGTATACATTAATTAGTGTTGAAACCACTTTGAGAGCTTCCTAATTCATCATACCAACATAAAATGCTACCTCCCAAAATAACAGGATAATATTTAAAAGTCTACTTCTCAGACATCATCTACTAAACTAGCTTGGATCTCCATTTATAATCCTACACCATTCAGTTTGATTTGTTAACAGATACTAAACCTAACTGAATCATAGTCAAGAATATTGTATAAAAAGACAACTAATACAGATCAAAAAAACAAGTGGCTAAATAGGATAAGGTGAGGGATACTAATGTACCACTGTACCTTTAATTCTTCAAGTTTCTCTCTTATTTCAATAAATCCCAGGTGCAGTTTACCCCCAAAATGATCAGCCAGTCGTCTGTCATTATCATGAAGACCTAAATAGGCAGAGCAGACTTCACAGACTCGAAGCTTCTGCTGTTGGAAACTGGAAGCTGGCATAGAATTCCGATAAACTTCCTGAACAAACGTGACAAAAACAATGATCATATAAACCTCATTAAAAGTCATACAATTAAATAAAATATATTATTGCTTATACCCAAAATGTTTTCTAATGAATACACAAAAACATGGCTATTTTGTCATGAAAATTATATGTGTCCCTTTATCCACATCTTCTGCCCTTGGGACCTCTCCAATGGAGGTCAAAGGTCACACAGCTCCAAATAATTTTTGCCAAGAAACTACCATAACAACTGTACCATGGTACAGAACACAACTTTCTAAGAGGTTTTCTCAATATTCTACAATGCTGATAACTGTAATTTTGCTAAAAATGAAATGTAGGCTGGGCGCAGTGGCTCACACCTGTCAACCCCAGTACTTTGGGAGACTGAGCTGGGACAATCTCTTGAGCCCAGGAGTTCGAGGCTGCAGTGGGCTGTGACTGCAACATTGCACTCCAGCCGAGGCAACAGAGCAAGATCCCATCTCAAAAAAAAAAAAAAAGAGGGGAACACTATGAACAGCTTTATGCCAATAAATGCAACAACTTAGAGATTTCTGTGCAAGACAAACTTCCAAAAGTGATTAAAAAACAAGAAAAAATTGAATATCCTTATAACTACTAAAGAATCTAACTCTTTTTTTTTTTTTTGAGACAGAGTCTCACTGTGTTGCCCGGGCTAGAGTGC